ATATTTCCATCTAATCCTTAGCTTCAGATGCATGCTACAATTGTAATTACTATATTGTGGGTTGGTACTAAAAACTACTTCTGGGTGCTACATCTGACATGCATCAATAGGGTAGAGTAATTTAAAGGTTATGCACCACTGGACTTGCAGCGCAGGCATAAGATCACAGGCTAACCAGTCCAAGGCTACCATGCCAATTATCAAGACAACAGAGGATGGGTAATGTGAACTCTTTCCAAAAGGTTACCTGTGGGGGGAGACGTAGCTAGACTGTTCCTGGGAGGATCCACGTCTCTCATAGAGACTTGGAAAACTGGTGGAGTGTGAGGGAGGAGTCTGTGGCTGGTTACCATTGTCATATCTAAAGGGGTATTGACAGTTTTGGAGACATTAATTTACGCTTTGCCTTTTGTCATAACAGTTCTATGATAAGAGGTTAGGTTAGTGAAATGTGTGTTTGTGTATCTTAACTATAACTGTCAAAATTTTGGGAATAATTTGGATAATTTTGTCAAGTATCTAAATAAAAGCGAATGAGCCATTTTTTCATTTTATAGTTGAGTTTACTATCCATCTCCTGTCTTTCTAAATTCATTATGGACATTCATATTCACATCTTTTATACACCAGGTGGCATTTCAAATTACTTTTATGTATAACCTCCACCACACTCACAAAGCCTCTTCTTGCAGGAATAGAAAAAGCTAATTCACTATTCTTTCTGATAAATATTCTAGCTAGATTGCTTTCTGACAGCTGCTTTCATACCACAGGTATCTTACGGCCTGTTATTTCAATGCTGCACATAATGCTACTAGATAACTAACATGTACAACTATACTGTACATAGCAAAGGAATTCTCCAGCAAAATAATCATCTTTCATCAGTCAGTCTTTCAAAAAAAGAAAAGAAAAGAAAAGAAAGAAAGAAAAAAAAAAAAAAAAAAAATCTTAATAATTATTCAAAAATAGTATTTCTGAACTGCTTTAAAGGGAATTAATATAAATAAACAAATCATTTGACAAAAATCCAACTCATTAAAATCAATATGCAAGGGCACCACATATTTACACAAAATACAGACCTAGGAGTTATAATTTCTCTTGGGGTTGGTATAGGCCTCGGCAGATGCGACACAGTGTGTGACGATCCTCTTCGTGTTGAGTCAGGAGTTGAAGGTTTTGTAGTTGGTATTGGCATAGCTCTCAAAGGCTCAGGACGAATGACATCCGGACTGGTCATAACTTGAGGTACCATTGGATCTGCAATGGAAATAAACCAATAACATGTTATATCCTCCAGAAGGTAAAAAAAAAAATGTCCTTCTCCCATAACAATGCTAACCCCAAACACTCCACATATTCACAAGATTAAAGGATCTTATCTTGCAACATTCCTTTCCTTTGAACTTGTTTCTTACTATTTTTTCTTTCCTTTTTCTGGTAAGGGGAAGTGCCTCACTGCTCATGAGGTGTATCACTGACTTTTTAAAATGAGTGCAGATGCCTTTCCATTTTATATGTAATCAACAAGGTCTTACACATTCCTCAACCTTTCTCTATGCATGCAACATCCAGAACAAATTTTCATTCCATCACATCAACAATAAGAAATAAGGAATTCTATCATTAATAAAATATACATACAATAAATTCTTATTACCAAAAAACCTACTGTTTGTTTACTTTAGATAACTCTATTTTCAACTTATTCTAACAATCTCTATCCTTCTGTGCCCTACCTTTATTATTTGTTAAGATGAACACGGCAGAGAGACAATATTTTTTTAAGCAACTTAAGCTTAATCAGATTTATAGTTTATAAAGAGTTACCTCCTATATTAATCATGGTGTCTTTTAACTGCCTGACTTTTGTAACTTTGAATCAGTTTCATGACCATTCTTTCCAAGAAAACAAAAGGCATTTTTTTTTTATTCATAACTTTCATATGACATTCTTTGTACACAGACATAGGACGGACCACCAATATTAAACCATACCCAATAAATCCTCGAGAGAAGAAAAAATATCATGTATCACTTTTCACAAAAGCAAAATATGGTCTCAGTTTTCTTGATGAATGGAGTATAAAAGACTATATACATTTACATATTCCTCTGATAATCACAGAAGATAATACATCCATATTATCTTCAGATAAAGCTAAAGGAGGTCTAGTTCAGCAAGCACATCAACTCCCAGTTAAAATGTTCTTATAATCTGTAGCTGGAATCAATCTTGTGCACATCTGCTTTCACAATCTAGGAGGTGATTGTGACTTTACTTTTTTTAATTCATCCATTCATGATAGGATTTTCCCACACCATAGTGAGCCACATATTTGGCTTTCACAGAGTCACAGCAACTTAACCTCTTCCTGACAGGCATGACTATAGATGTAATGTTAATCTTACCCTTCATGATAGGAAACGTGAATTTGCATCACAACTCACTCTTGTGACTGAGTGGGCAAGCCAGCTGTACACAGAAAATGCCCTGCTGGAAAGGCTAGATGGATGCCAGTAATCACCGGAATGAGTGATACACCGAAAATTCAGGCCCTGTCAGTGTAAAGTTAAAAACCAGACACATTTACCCCACTCTATACACTTTTTAGCTGTAGCATAGCTTTTTTTAGGGAATGAAGCTAAAAAGAGACTAAGCCTATAATTATTCACCCCACATAACATAACAGGCTCAACCACACATGTATGTGTAATTGCCAGCCAGTTTCTGACCCAATTCATTGCAACATGATTAGATGTCATCCAGTAGATTGGGGTTAATACATCAAATGAAATCTATATTATGCATCAATTTCAACTGTAGGTCATAAGAACATCTCATCACAGATTTCATCCCAGTAAATGACTGAGTTTCATTTAAACTATATATCTGCACTGGTACATAATATATACAGGGTACTGAATATTACTTTCTTCACTGCCCCATATATAAGAAGACATTTTTGACTTCCGGGAAACTGCAGTTCCTCTAAAATGCTTTTCTTGAACAACAAAAAGGAAGGACAGATATATACATATATACATATGGTACAGCAGTAAAGCCATTCTCCACCAGCCTGGTTGTATCCTAATTGATCTGTATTTGTGAAAAGAACATGCATAAAATCATTATTAGAAATAATTATCATGCATATTAGTAAGAAAGGCATGCAAAGCTGTGACATCTGCACTAAGATCTTCAGATCTTTCATCACTCTGCTGGAGGCTGGAGCAGCACCTGGTCTCTCACAGCTCCAAGATAGCAGGGAGGAGGGACAAGTTTTTTTCTCACTGCATTTCAACTGATGAGTTTTTCTATAACTGGATCAGGTGGTCCCAACAGTAAGCACTTTACTATATCTGGCACTGTCTACAGTATTTCCAACTTCATTACTTTTATTTACAATAATTGGATCTTATTCATATACCTAGCACTGAAGAAAAAAGTACATCACATCATCTTGAATTTAAACAAATCAATTTGAGTAAGCCATCTTTCATGAAGCTGAATCTTTTTTATAATGGTAAAGGATATTTTAGACTCGTAATCACATGAACGCATTAAATATCTGAATACACAAATTACTGTTCTGCATAATGGTAATGCATTCATTCCTTGCATACTAAGTTCAATATACAATATTCCCTATATATCATCTTTGATAAGCATATGTTAGATAGCACATGCGTAAAGTATGCCTGACACCCTGAAAGTCCCACCAAAAATAAATTGCACCATTCCTGGTAAATTGGCAAAATATCTAAGCCTATTCCATATCATAATCTCAACAAATGAGTAAATGAAGTGTTAGTTTGTGAAATTACATAGTCTGTCCTAGGTACTAACATATCCAAGACCACTTTTAAATCTGCAATGCTTTCCTCTATTCAATATTATGGAAGTTTTATGCCATTTCTCAATCATTCTTTTCTAAATATCAACTCTTAGGATCTCCTTTCTCACATCTGAATCTAAATATGTAAAAGATGAAATTCAACTTTCTTTCTCTTTGTTTTCACTCCTAATTTTTGCATTTTACTTGAAATTTATATGAAAAGATAACTCTTCTACACTGATAAATTTGAGCATCTATTAATCTATAACTTCACTACCTACCTTTCATACACATGCAATGAAAGTTTAATATTAGTTGCCTGTATAAACAGAAAAATATTCTCATTTCTATATTTTCCAAAAGAAGAAATATAAATTCTCTGCAAAAGATAATTACACTGATCCAAAAAGCTGATTTTCAAGTGAGGGGGAACTACAAAATACCTTTGGAATTAAGCAGGGATAAAATAAATATCAGAAGGAGGGGAGATGGTCCAGTCATTTTAAATCTTATTTACTATACATGGTTTTGTTTAAATCTTATCTATTTCATATCCCAAGATGCAATGCAATAGCAAAACTGCTAAAGATTTTTAAACACTGCATGAAGTACTGTATCCCTATCTAAAAAGAAAAAAAAAAGAAAAAAAAAATTCTAAACCATGTTCTTTGATGTTTAAGTTGCTTCTTTAGGTTCATACATGACCCTTGAAAAGCTACTGTTCTGAAACGATGATGACTGTGAACCATTTACCTACCATTATTATTGTTAATGGGAGGTTTGGGCTCAGGAAGAGGTGGTGTTCTCTGTACTGCAATAAAGGCACAACAAATACAATGGTTATAATAAATTTCAAAACTGGCAGCCATACTATTTACATGTATATAATTGTAAACATATAAGACTAGGAAAAGAAAACAAAAACAGCCACATGTCAGACTTCAATATGAGGGGGGAAAGAGAAATAAAAAGAACAAAAGAAAAAAGTAAAAAAAAATACATAAATAAATAAATAAGTAAATAAATAAACAAATAGGCTAGATTAAGAAACCCTGTCTATTAAAAAAAGGGGAAAAAAAAAAAAAAAAAAAAACACAGTATACTCTGAAATGTGGCACATGCTTTTCCAAGAATAAAATAGCATTCAGCATTCTGAAAGATACACTGCATACATAATGATTATGCAACATAATGAACAACATGTTATAAAAATACAGCAAAAAGAAAACAGGAAAAACAAAAGGAAAAAAACAATTATGAAAACATTTTACTAGCGATTCAAAGCACTACAGCAAAGATAAAGAAGAAAATCCATAAATGGATTAATAATAACAATGTAACCAGAGAAATGCAAATGGTTACCTACTGACCATGTGCAAAATTTCTGTGTTGGTGTAGACTTTGGTAAGACATGAGGATGCAGGTTATTATAGTAACAACTCGACATAATAATAATAATCCGTAATCTTAAAATGCATATCCTGCCTTAGGACATGTATAATGTTTTGCCTCTACCTTCAATAAGACAATTTTTCTTTCTCAATAATTTGCTCTTCAATGATTTACTGAAATCTCGTACTCCTTTAAATTTGCAAAAATAATTTTTTCACAATTATCAATTTCTTTGAAATGACCAGAGGCATAGTTGAAATATAAACTGTTGACATTCTGATAATTATCTTATTCAACTGTACTTTACTTAATTTGATAAGAGTATCACTATTGAGGGAATTAATGTAGTGTAACTGGCAAACAAATCTTATAATCAATTGTGTAAAAGATTAATTAATCTTCATGTAAAAAAGCATTTGAAAGTACAAGGGATTCATCCATATTTTTTTTCTGCTAAAAAAAAATGCTTTGCAAAACTTGGACTCAAAACATGCTATAGAGAGGCAAAGAGTTAAAGATAAAAAAGCTGCTTGATAGATAATAGATAAGCTCTACCAAAACTGATGAAAGAGAAAAAGAGGCACGTTGAAAATAAAAAAATAAATATCAAGACTCTTCCTGCAATCCTATGTCTATACCTTGATTTCATTGGAGAAAAGGAAGATTAAAGAAAAAAAAGCACAGAGAGAAGGTGTAAGACTTAAGACAACACTCACACTCTCTCCTGGTCTGGAAGATTGAATTGTAATCATTTAGGTTTGTGATCTCTGGAGGTGGGTCCTCCTCCTGTGGCTCTTCACCACCTGTGTCTGAGGCTTCTTCAGTCTTCATGGATTCCGCTCTGTAATAGCAGGTTATTAATAATTAACAAATGTGTACAATTTTCATCATTTTAACATTTTAATAGTGTTCTGGAAGTCGAAATGCAACTATAACAACAACAGCAACATATAGCAAAAGGATTAAATTCACATCATACTTTATCTGAATTTTATAGAATATGTACTGCTTAGAAAAGCAAAAACCTGCTTTATACAAGAGAGAACAAAAGAATGTTTGGTCTCCTTTCTGGAAATTACATTTGGCATAAAATATAAATGTCAATTCCTATACTCACACAAACATTATCATGTGCCCACAATTTTCTTTAGACCCAAGCTAAACACTATAGGATTTCCTTTTCATTAAACAGGTATACAGTACCAGGTGTTGTGAAGCCCCACAACAGAATGAACTACTTATCACAGTACTTATAGTTATACCCTACTATCAAGTTGAGATGCAACTATAAAAACAACAGCAACATTTATTGAAATGTTTCTTACGTAGCCTTTCCAGAGTTTTTGTCCTTGATAAAACTCTTGCGTATAGCTGCACCATGTCTGAAAGTTGATGGGACATCTTGCTGGGGCCCACCGAAGGGCTGAACCCGCTTCAGGTCAACCACATACAGAGACACATGCACACCATGAAAACCTGCACCAATCTGAAAGAGTAAAAGTGAATCACTTGATTGTTCCTTTTTTTCAAGAAATTCATTCATGAGGAGTTGACCTTTCTTTTATTTCTAAAAAAATATCTCAACATACAAATCATGTTTTAAACCATGCTGAGAGAAAAAAAATGCTTAAATACTTACAAGCTGATTTTGGGCAATGGCAATATCTTGAATCTTGCCCCAACCCATAGCAACTGTGTCAAATGTACGGGCAGGCTCCCACCCATACACCTTGAGAATATCGGGAGATCCTGCATACAGGCAATCACCATCAGGATGAAAGGCAATTGTTCTGAAGAAAAAATAAATATTTACTTTTTCGACACTTCTGAAATATTTATCTTATTCCACCTGCCAGAGATAACCCGATAGATCTCTCAAACTTAGTTTTATGTCCCAGGAATAAGTACACTAAATCCCCAGATGATGTTTTGGACAAATCCAAGACCTTGTATTAACAAACTCAAGCTCTAATATTCCATCTTCTACAACTGACGTCTGTCTATTTATTACTGCTTTCAGAATATGCCAAGTGTTCTCAACTCTTAAAAGACTTGCCCCTTTATAATACGACGCAGACGGGGTGCATCAACTCAATAAACAATCACTTTTGGAATCTAGAGAATGTGAAACCTGAAACCATCCCAATAATTTTTCCTTGGCCAGTAGAAGTGAGGTAAAGCTTGCCTTGTGTATTCGCCATGAACATGTTTACTACTTGAACCTCACATATGCCAAAAATTACTCAAAGAATTCCTATTATTTATATAGTCTCTAAAAAAAAGTAACACTTTAAGAGCACATTCTGTCATAATAGTAAGAAAATCCTCATATTTTACCTGATGGGTCCTGTATCAGCATCTGTGGATGAGACTAGAGAGAATTTCTCTAGATCCCAAAAGTTTACAGTTCTGTCATGTGATGCAGAGGCTAATAGGAATTCATGAGGATGGAATTCTACATCACTAACAGGCCCAGTGTGTTGGGCAAATTCTGTCATCATTTTGCCAGCTCGAAGATCCCACAACTGAAAAAGCCAGAGGTAACATTTTCAATACATTTTCAGATATATGCAAAGATGCCCATCTGCATTAATTTGCTTTGTCTGAATCTACATTAGAAATATAATGCCTAGGATCATTAACTAAACATGTAATACCAACCTTCACATTGCAATCTTCTCCAGCAGATGCTATCCACTGGCCATCTGGGGAAAACTTCAGGCTATTGACTGTTAGGTTGTGCCCTTTATATGTGAAGATGCAACCTTTTCGTCTAATGTCCCACAGCTGCAGATAAAACAAACTTTGTTAAATCCCTGGAAACTAAATTATGTAATGCATGGAAGCCACATGTGTGACTGATGTAATTTAATATCAAGTACAATAATTCTCAAGAAAATAATTTACAACATATATAAATTTTGATAAATAAAAAAAGAAAATATATGACATCTACTGAAAACTAATGTTCTCTACTAGGAGGAAAGAATAAGAAGGTAACCATTCCAGCAGACGTTTTCCCACAACCAACTCTCTCACCTTAATGTTTGTGTCAAGGGAACCCGTGCCGATAAAGTCCCCATAAGGGTGGAAATCTATGCATCTGATGTTGGCTTTGTGTCCGGTCAGTGTCCGGACAATTTTGGTGGCCTCCAGGTCCCATATCTTCAGCGCACCACTCAGGGACCCGGCGCACACCAGTTCCTCGGATCCACCAAAACGCACACATTCAACTGGTGTTGTGTGGCCTGACAGACTCTGTGGATGAAGATTGCTATGGTCAGAATTTCTAGATGTTTATTATAGGGACAGGTGTAATAATGAAGATTATAATGATAATGGCATATCATACTAATATGGTAGTGGTAGTGGTAGATGGTTGTGGTAGTTGTGATGATGATAATGGTTGATGATGATTGATGATGAGGAGGATTGATGATGATGATGATGACTGATGATGGTGACAAAAGATAATGATAATGGAAATAATAATTAGGATACTAACAATGATGGAAATGATGAAAACAAAATAAAACAACAACAATAATAATGATAATAATAATAACAACAACAAAAATAAGTAGAATCACTCAGCGCATACCTCCGTCAAGAAAATAGGGCCACTGATGCTATAAAATATTCACAATTAAAGAATTACATTAAAATCACCTCTTTCACTGGTGACGCCCGTGTTTCCTTTTCTCGCAATGCTAATGAATTCTTTTTTTTCTTTTTCTTTTTTAATAAAATCCTGGATTGATCACCACTAAAATTTAATGTTAACCTTGGCGGAGGTAACAAATATTAACTATTACAATAACAGTAACAATCATCATACATACAAAATTGAAACAATAATATTAGCGATAAAAAAAATCACAATAACACCATAATTAACAATGACAAAAATAATGAGTAATTCCTTATGGCGGTGTAAAGAAAAAAGTTCACGTGCTAATTCTTACATACTGACTAGCAGAGCAGTCTGTGCATTTCAAGGTTTCACGCAAATCTTGGCTTCTTATTTGGTCTAATAATTTACAATATATAAACAAAAAACAAACAAACACAAACGCACACTCACTTTCTCCCACTCACACACACGCACACTCTCACTTACCCTTACACACACGCACGTACTCACTCGCTCGCACTTTCGTACAACTAAACCCTCCGGAAAACAAACGTATTTCAGTAACTTCTAGCGTAGATAAACTAAAATAAAATCCTTATGCACGAATCCTAGCCTATACCCACGTTTTGTCCTAGAAAGATAAAAATCAGCTAATTCACCGAATTTTTAAAAGACAAGCTAATATAGCCTAGGGCAATGGCGGCGTCGACGTGACTTCAACGTAATGACAGAAGGGAGTCGGAGAAAGTTAGCCATGCGTTGAGAGGTCGGCACCCCGTCTCACCAGGACTTTGCCACCACATTAAATATCCTCTATCCTCTACTTCATGGGTACACGTGTCTCTTTCACGAACTTTCGGCTCTCACGAATCTCTCAAATTGGGTAGATCGTAAGTTTTGTGTTTTGCTGTTATGGAAACACCCGCGGTTAAGATGAAGTAAGGTAAATTCGCAAGCAAGCTTCCATGTGTCACAGCCGCAAGCAAGCGCCTGTGACACATGGAGGGGATATTTCCAACCCAAGTTTCACCTCAATCGGCTCTTACGACCAAGCATGCTCGCACAGCAACGCCACAGCCGGCGGAAGGAGCGGTAGCTTTCTAGACCAGAATAACCTGCACATGTAAAAGGTTTCCCTCAGCTTGTAGTCATTACCTGCTCAAGACACGTTGTTTGCGACCCGGACTAGTTTCTACTGCAACCCCAGGAGTTACTGGTTCGGCGGTACTCTCGACCTTAAAAACATTTATGGCAACTTTTGCAATAGTCTTGCAAATTTAAGCTTATGTGCAGTCTCGTGAAGTCAAATTCAGATGTCTGTCATTGTCATTGCATTGGTATCTCTAATTTCCATAAATCTTACAACAATGATTAATGTAAAATAACTTTTATCAAATTTACAAATAGTAAATAATTCGAAATGAAATCAATATCACCGCTATCACATGTGGAAACTTGTATTTCTAATTCAACAAATATTAATGAAAACTAATTTAATAAAAAGCTGAAACAACTTCGTAATTATCGTTTTGTCAAACGTATTCTCCAAATAGAGCAAAAAGTTTTACGAGGGAGGGAAGGAGCGTGAGAGAGAGAGAGAGAGAGAGAGAGAGAGAGAGAGAGAGAGAGAGAGAGAGAGAGAGAGAGAGAGAGAGAGAGAGAGAGAGAGAGAGAGAGAGAGAGAGAGAGAGAGAGAGAGAGAGAGAGAGAAGAAGTGATAAGGACTGAAATGGAGATGGGGACAGAGGGATGGGGGGGTGAAAGAAGGAGTAGGAGAGCAGAAAACAAGAACACGCAATCCCAGCGAGAAAGTGTCGGTTCGTGGGAACACGGAGCGGGCGGCGGGAAGGAGGTACTCGCGCTGCTCTTCTGCTTTGACGGCTTCCCTCCTTTTCATTTTATAAGGGGGTAAAATTTACTCCCACTGAAATAACCTGTTGATATGGGTGCCACAGGCATTATTCCTTTACCCCCGACTTGCCCTACGAACAGAGCAATTTACCTTCTAAACGAAAGTGTATCTAACGGGTATCTAACTTTATCACTTTGGCTTCACACTGTGAGTATTGAGCATGTTGTATGCTTCGCATCCATTTTGATTCTACAATAAATAATGCCTCTCATTCTAACTTGCTTCAACGTCAACAATTATGGCCGAAACCTTACGGAATATACACTCTTTAAAACAGACGTATATCCCCACAGAATAAACACAAATCGCGCATCGCCACGAGGGATCACGGTTCAGCCATCCATTCAAACCGCATCGGGAATGGAAAATATCTCATACACGTGGGAACATCTCCGCCCGAACTCGAGCCTCGCCGTGATGCAGCCTCTAAATGGCAAGGTTTAGATAGGGCGCCGCGTAAGCCATTATGCAAACAAAGACAAGTAACCGTGTGCGGTGGATGGATGAGGAAAGGCGACGGAAAGATGGCACCGACCCCTCGAGATACCACGCAGTATAAATCCAGCCATAAATATCTATGCGATGACAGGTAAGCGGTGGACATACATAAAGGCTAATGGCTAGATAGAGCAACAACTGAAGAGGCAGACAACGCATTAGTCGACAGTGCTCAAGGGCAGATAGACAAGGACTGCCGCCGGAATGGTCGGGCGCGGACCGTAGCGTCGGCGGCGCGAGTGAGCTGCCGGTTCAAGGCTGTGACGCCATAAGTGGACGCGGCCGCACCGCAAACACCATCGAGGGTGACATTCTTCGACTGGTGGGAGTGGATTCTCTCTTGATACAGGCCCCGCGGTGCCTTTTGTTCACAACTACGTTTCTGCCTTTTGGTCAACCAACATTAGCGATGCCCCAAGGTTTTCTGGTGTCCAAGTTCATTTCAGTAACCGTTGCATTCATTTTCATCTAACGTTCTTTTAACATTTCCACTTCACATTTTCCAAGCGCACACGCACGTAGGCGCAAGCACATTTTTATATTGAAAAAACAAAACAAAAAAACTATCAACTTTCAAGAACATAAACTGTGATGGTATGTTTATGTATGGATTTCTGATGGTCGCAATATGGCAGGTCAGCAGGACAACGAATACACTTGCAATATAATCATAGGGCAAAGATAAAAATAGCATAACAATCCAACACTTCAGCATGATATCTGTAATAAATAGGTATTCTGAGCCTTCAGTGACATGTCTACATAACACAAAATGCGTTTCCAATCAATTCTGAAGTTCAGCTTTTACTTCTTCCTTTCTGTTCCCACAAAATAATAAGAGGAAGTCGCACAGCCGAATAAAAATGTAACGCGACAGTGACAGACGCGTTTTGACGCAAAGACAATGTTGCACAATACCTTTGTACAGTTGCATTGCTTTCGAAATACTACGATTTCGGCGTGACATCGGTATATTTCACATCATGGAAATGGCACCTGTTCCATAGTCGCATAAATCAAAACAAATATATCGTTATTTTTGAACATCAAATACTTATATGATTAGTACATACAGAGCCAGCGTACATTCAGGCATACCAATGCAATCGCACGGAGACTCGGCGAAACCCCGCCATTTGTCGCCGCTTCTTCACATCCGCGAAACCCTGTCGACGAAACGTTCATACGTGACGCCCTTCGCCGTAGCGCCGTGACCATCCAGGCGAGCTTCCAAATATGGCAACCAGGTGGGCGCCCTATCCACTCCTTAAAGAGAGGTGGGCGGAGCTCTGGTGCCACCACTGCTCACTGCGCCCGAAGAGTCCACCTGATCGTGTGCCGAGTCTGCGTCGCGCCATTCGCTCCACTTCCATGCTTATCTTCTTATCTCTTTGCTCAGGAGTGGACTTCGCCAACGACAATATCCACGACAAATATATAATGCACGTAAGACCCATCCGAGTGACGAGCAATAACGGGAAATCCATTTACATTAAAAAAAAATAATAAGAAAAAACGTCTGTACAGAATACCCCCTAGCACCCCGCTATCTCGCACGAGCTGTTCGGGAGGGTCTCTCCTTGAAGCCAGCCGCGAGGACCCAGGCACATCCACCAACTCCGGGCGGCCAGCCCTACCGTATCCTACGAACGAATCTTGGCCGCGCCATCCTTACTCCAGGAAGTGCCCGCGCTCCCCGAGACCACCGCCGCCCGCGCCTTCCACCTCTGAGCCACCTCTGGCCCTCGCAAGCCGCGCCGGAGACAAGCCCCGCCCTAATGAGCTACTATTACCGCACGGCATGCTCTATGACAAGCAAGTTACGTACCGAATAACGTACGGCAACAAATATACCCCGACACCTTAATCGTATATGAGTAACGCCGATATTCAGGCGGTCGTATCACCTACAAAAGCAATTACACAGGTGGGACTGATCCATATCTTGCGGGTAATAACTACCTGGTAAGTTCCTTTCATTGGCATCAAACAACAGCGTAGCAAATATTCAAAGTTCAATCATAACCAAAAATATCAATTTCTTTTAACTCTTTTTAAAAAGATTCGGTCACCAGGTTTTAACTGCACGGTTATCCACGAAGGCGAAATAATACACAAGTAAGGCATTCACCTGTACACGAAACCCCAGGATTATAAGGCAACACAGGTAGACCAAGCCTCGGGGGATGTGTCATTTTCGTACTGCGATCATGA